AGAAGTGGTTGCAAGAAACATTTAAGTCTGTGTGTTACTCTCATTATAGAAGTCTGGTCATTTCATATCCTTCTCATGTTGTCACTTGCTGCAATCCTTTTGACAATCACAAGGAAACATCAAAGAAGAAGCGGGTGAAGGAAAGGGAATCTGAAAGAAATAACTTTAAATATGAGAGATAGGGGAAAAAAGGAAGAATTTAAAATTTTAATTCCCGGAAAAAAATTGTGTTTTGCATGCAGGGGTTCAGTTTGCATCGCTGTTTCCTGGGAAAAAAAAATGTGACACCCCCTACTTCACCTCCTCCATCAGTGGTAGCAAATGAACTTGGAATTTTCTTGTCGTCGCCATCTATACCATCTTCATCTTTACCTCCATCTCAGCAATTTACCGATTCAACTCAGCAAACCTCTACCTCTGATCAACACGATACTGAAGCTGGTGGTAGTTTGTCCCGTCAAGGCAGTGATGCCCAAGCTAAAGTGGACCAGCAGGATATGAGTTATCCCGAGAACTTGGACTCGTTGAATGACTGGCTATCCTCTTTTGGGGAAAAATCCTGTTTCACTTAAAAAATTGTCTGCGCCCCATAGCTACTGCCAAAAAGTGTTTGATGATATCAGAGACGTGCTACAGAAATTTTCAGGCAAAGTTTTTTTGATAATATAGAAAAAAAATGAAGATGAAGGCGCATTTTTATGAAGAGATGATGGGGGCAGCTCAAGGAGTACTTCAAGAAAAAAAAAAAATGACAAGAAAGCTCAAATGCTTGCACTAAGTGTGTTACCGAAGAGCCTCAGTGTAGCCAAAATTACAGAACAGTTTGGTGCTACAGCACACAGAGCTCGAAAGGTAAAAGCCAGGTAGAGAAGAAAGGCATTTTGAGCTTAGCAGATGCGCAACAGGGAAGGAAATTACCTGAACAGACTGTGACACTAGTTCGTGATTTTTTTTCCCGGATGGATGTAAGCAGAGAACCCCCCGGGAAGAAAGACACAATTAGTGTCATTGAAAAAGAAAGCGAGTCCTCAAGGGAAAAGACTGGTGTTAGGGACCTTATCTCAGCTTCATAAAGATTTTTTTAAAAGAATTGAAAATAAAAAAATTTTCTGCTTAAAAATTTGCCTCTTTAAGGCCTAAAGAATGTGTCTTAGCTGGAAGTCCAGGCCCACACATGGTATGTGTAGAACCTACCACCAAAATCCTAAACTCATTTTTAGAGCTGCAGGACTGAATAATATTGAAGGTCTCTCATCAGAGGTTGACTGCCTAAAATATTTTCTATGTGATGATCCCACTGAATCGTGTCATTTAAGAAGCTGTGAGAACTGCCCTGAGGGCCCTTTCAACTTCAAGAGATGATCGAATTATATTTTGCAGAGGAAATGATTGAAGAAGTTAAATAAATCAGTGGAAATCGACAGACCGCAGTGAGATGGCTTCTATACTTCTTCAAGAGAAGACTTTCTGGATGATTTCTTTAAGGAGCTGCAACTCCTTGAAACCCCATGATTTCATTGCACACCAGCAGTTTTTCATTTTAAAAACAAAATGCAAAATCTGGAGGAAGGAAAGTAATAATTAATGCTGACTTTGCAGAGAATTATACTTATGTAACCCAAGAGAGTGCGAAAGTCATTACTTCAGTAACAAGCAAGCAACTTTCATCCCTTCATGTGCTACGAAAAAAAAGATGGTAAAATAGTCAAGCTTCCATATGTCATCATATCGGACTACACAGAAAAGCATGACACGGGTGCCTTCTCCAGCTTCCAAGTAAAGCTTATGGAGTTCTTGAATTTAAAACCCTTTGGGTTTTGGGTTTAAAAAGGTATATTATTTCTCGATGGCTCTGCAGCCAATACAAAAACAGAAAATCCGTGGCAAATACATGGTTCCATTTCCCTTTGATTTTGTTTTTCCTCAGCAGAGTGGCATTTCTTTGCTACAAGTCACGGGAAGTGTGCCTGTGATGGGCTGGGTGGCACTGTGAAAAGAGTTGTTTACCTGCATAGTCTTAGAGCCACCAAACCAGGTGATCAAATTACCAACGCTGTTGAACTGTTCAATTTTTGTGTCCAAAAAATTTCCCAAAGCATGGCATTTGAACTTGTCACTTCAGAAGATGTAAAGAACCACATTAAAAAAATGGAAGTTAGATTTTCAACTGCTGCAGAAATTGATGGCATAAAGTCAAGCCATGCTATCATACCATCTCTCAACGATTATACGGGTTGTTGTGAAGCCCTATTCTAATTGCCCAAGCGGTAATGTTAAAAAAAATTGCAGCCACTGAGTTACAAATTCCATTCAAAGACATCAGAGGATTTATCATTTATGCACAGTCCCAAGAGAAGTGGAAACTTGGCTACGTCGAAGACACTGATGAAGAGGTGGAAGAGATTCGTGTGAACCCACTCAAAGCACTCGTGATAAATTCTTTTTAGTTTGAAGACAATGTAGATGAAGTGATCAAATTTCAGTGAAGTGCTTCTGCTAGTGCAACCAAGGGTTTTCAAAAAAAGGGCAATCATATAAGCTCCTTGCCAAAGACTTGAAAGCAGCGAATGAAACATTTAGAAGTTAAAAATAAACTTTCTCAAATTTAATTGATGTTAAATAAATCACATGTTCAGTGTATGTTGTATTAAAGAAAAGAAATTTTATTTGTGACAATAAATATTTACAGTGCAAACTAATAACTCATTTGGGAACATTCACAAATTACATAAGGGCCTCGAGGGGGTGGGGGGGTCGGCCAATCGTTACTAGGGTCTTATGTGGGGGTGTGGGGGGGTCTAAAGCAAGCCTTATGTAAGGTTTCTGAAACGCGCTGAAATGGGTTAAAAGTGGGAATTTCTTTTGTTATGCCATGTTTGCGTTGATTTTATTGTGGCCAAATGCCCTTTTATTGATTATTAGTTATGAACCCATGCTTTTGCAATAAAAGCAGTGCCATCTTAAATCAGAAATCTGATTGATTTCAGCCTCCAAAACCGCTGATTTATCTCGTCTTATGCACAAAACACGTAAAAAACAGAGAAAAACCGTTTTAAGGTTTTATGGGGATTTTTTTTGGCGAAAACCTTACGTAAATGGGGGGTGGGGCGGTCCTGAAAACCTTACTTGGCCTTACATGGGGGTACAGGGGGGTCAAAAAACCCCCCAAATCGCCCTTATGTAATTTGTGAATGTTCCCTTTACCCATTGAAAACAAGAAAGTACAGGGCATCCTAACCTGAAACCAGTAGTAAACAAAACATTAGAATTCCACATAATTTGGCTTCAGACCGATTCAATCAAAGATTGTCATGCTAGGTCAGCACTTGGGCGTACCAGTGAAATGCTGGTTATAAACTGCCACTGAATAATTGGAAATCAATTCGTTAAAAGCAACAGATTGGATCGCCAAAAGATGAACAAAAGGGGGGTTTCAGATCTCGGACTGGCAAGGGAAGGGGGGGAGGGAGGGAGGGAAGCCTCGGGGCCGGGAGCGGGGTGGGGTGGGGGGGGGGGGGAGGGGGGGGGGGGGGGCCTACACTGCCGTGCCCCGGCCGCCGTAGGCCGCCGGGCCCGGGGGTGGCCGGGAGGCCAAAGGGGGGCGGGCAGTGCGCCAGTTAGGTAGGCAGCCCGCCGAACGCACCTGCCGAGCGGCTCGGCCCATCCAGGCGCTTGCAGGGGTTCAGGAGAATTGAGATATCTCGGAAACGAAAAAAAATGTTTTTTGTGGTTGGTATTTTCGTTTGTAGGAAGGATTAAGCTATCTTTTGAGCTATAGTATGCCTTGTTTGATCGCCGGACTAAAGTTTGACGCTATTTTTTTTATTTGAGCAAAAATTAGCAAAAACTTGACTTTTTCAAAAAATTTCGGGAAAAATCTTATTTTGTGTAGAATTTCATCCTCTTTCCCAAACCCTTTTTCCGGATTTTAGTTATCTCAAACGGTTCCCGAGTTATAGGCGTTTTTATAAGCAATTTCGGAGTTATCGGCTGAAATCGATATTGTTCGATATCTCGATAACGGGAGATGTTTGGCCCAAACCAAGTGTCACTTCTTAGTAAGGGTCAAGTAGGTAATCATCCATGTAAGTTTCACCAGGATCGGTGGCAGTCGTGTTTTTGAGCTTGCTGATTCCACAAAGAATTACCCCCTTCACTTATATGTTTACAGAAATTCTACAAAAATTTTCTCTTTTTATTTTAGCATGATGTGTTAAGTCGTCTTTCCATTCGCCCTCCGAGAGACTTGTCCCCCAATAGCTTCTCCCTCTACTCGCTTTTTTCGATTCTACATTGATGGAGAGGAGTTAGCTTGCTGAGGGGCCATCCATCAGTTACGTAAGACTGTGGGACACTTCTTGCCTCACAACGTGGCGTTACGCCGGCCCGCAAGCCGCTTTGAGTGCCACAAATTGGCCAGGTTGGCCCTGAAATACTGCCCAGCTTGCCGAAATTCGGCAGTGCAGGTGGCTGAATCATCAAATATGGGCAAGCTAGAGAATGTTTCAGGTGAAGCGTTGCCAGCTTTTGGCATTGGAAACGACTCCCTAATTATGTGGCAAGGAGACTTCCCACCGGATTTGCAGCGCTCCGGCGCAAAACGCAACATTTCGCAGAATTTCTGAATTAAACTTACATTAATTTACTTGTATTGTTTGGACATTCACTCTATTGTATATCATATATTTTGAGAGTTGCGCGGCCTAGATCCACCCTCCCACCTAACTGCGTAATGTGCGTCCCACTAATTATCTGCCGGTCACACTTTGCTCGTCGAGAGCCGACCAGTGAAATCGCGGTGTTGGCGAGGTTAGCGTTCAGAATGTATCGTAAGAAGATGTGTGACGTTTGGCTGAGCTGCGGACACAGCACTGACCCCTCTGCAAAATAAACATTTTCTTCAAAGGCCAGTTTTGAGAACCCTGCAAGACTTGTTTCTGGAGAATCTTTTTATCTTGCAAGTGGGTCAAAGTTCATCCGCAGGTCGCCAAAAGTCAAATGCTATATATTTCAATGAAAATTCCGTGTCAAAGACGGTCGGCGACGCTCGGCCTAGGTCGAGGCATTGTTAATGCCATAGAAAAACAGCTATTTTGCTGAACGGCCATCAAGAAATACTTCCTTTCACGAGTGCGAAGTCGAGTTCCTTTCGATCGGGATGCCGACGTACTTTTTCGACCGGCAGAATGAGAAGGACTTCAACCATGTTTGGCCAGCGAGAAAATTCGAGGCGCATCCGCTCTTATCGGCGCAAGTCGGCCGGTGCTGCTCAGATTGAGGCTTCAATTGTACTCAAAACACGCTTAAGTTTTCATTACAGGTCGGTGCAAGACAGTTCTCATGCTCCGTGGAACGCAGTCGCCGATTGGGTTTGCATGTCTCTGTTGGGTGTTGGAATTGGGTGCATTGTGGGAATCAGTAGAGTTGATCAGCATAATTTTCATAACTCCAGTCTTTTTAGTCGACATTGATACAATTTTGTGTCTGCACGGCAAAAACAGTTCCTGGTTTTTCCAGGAACTTCCTGGAAATCGCCTATGCCTCTACCACAGGTTTTCTGGGAAAACCAGGAACCTTTTAACCGTGCGCCAGGCGGGTCAAAGTGTCCAATGACAGATTAATTTTCATCAGGTACCAAAAAATAAATGACACCACGCAGGATCAAAATTGTATCACATTCGGATGGGCCTAAAACTGCATGACTGCAGTCCGAATGTGATACAATTTTGGTCCTGCGTGGCGTCATTTATTTATGTCCCATGCCATTACGTGTTAAGGGTAACAATTGCCCTTTTCACCGTCAGGTGCTGCCGCCTTCCACGAGGACCGCATCGGGTCTGCGGGCGCCCCCCCGCGCACTGCGAGTGGGACCTCAGCGGAGCGCGTGTCCACGGTCAAGTCCATCATGGACAAGTCCATGGTCAAGTCGGAAACGGTAAAAAAGAATTAGTTGGAGCAACCGATGTTTCGGTTTGTTTTGGCCCAACTAAGATTTTTTGTTCCATTAACGAAAATTGCGTTCGAAGAACGAAAAATTTGTTAGAACAGCGGAAAGTTCGTTGCAGCAGTGAAGTCGTTGGTTGGCACGACCGAATTTAGAGTCCGCTACTGCAACGATCTAATTCGGTGCTGCAACGATGGATTCCTTGCGGCAACAAACTTTTCTGCTCTTCTGACGAAATTTTCGTCACTGGTACGGAACATCTTAGTTGGGCCAAAACCAACCGAAGCGTCGGCTGGGCTAACTAAAATTTGGTTGGACTGACTGAGTATTTTGTTTCCGTGAAGGTGGTGGCACCGCCACCGCCAGTTGACTTGACTGCTAAAGTCATTGGCTGGTGCACCTACAACCGCTGCTACCAGGGCTCCACGTCCTGGGAAAAACATGTCCAGCATCAGAGGAAGCGTCACTGCACAGCAGCAGAGGTGGGTCTCTGCCAAAATACAGGTATGCAACCACACACTAAATTCTTAAGGACTTTTAAAATGCATAATTATGCATTTTTTTATCCACAGCTATGCATGCACAGGTACGTTCATTAGGTATGTATAATATTATGCATTACTGTGTTCATTTTATGCATCTTCCTGCTAAAAATGTACTCAGTGATGCATAATATTATACAATACATACCATATGGACGTATCTGTGCATGCATAAATGTGTCCAAAGGAAAGTCCATAAGAATGTGTGAAATGTGGCATTACATTATGCTCAGATTGTGAATTTTGTCAAGTTCGTCTGTCACATTCGTTTGAACATGACACGGCCATCTGATGCGGATGTCACATTCTTTTAAACGTTGATCAACATTCAAACGAACGTGACGACACTACGACACTCTCAGTCTCGTATTGACATTTTATCTCTTGCTGTAAAGGTTTTTGTGCAAACGGAACATGTACTGTTTTCTCTTGAGCTGTGCACTATTTTGTTCCTTAGTCCCTTAAACCGGACTTTTTGTCATGTGCAATGTACTTTTTAATTTCTACATGATCTATTGACAGTTTAATCTTTATAAAGATCAAAATTGTGCATAGTTAAGGAGAAAATGTACATTTTACGTTTGCTCAAAAAACGCTTTAAGTAAGAGAGAAAAAAGACCATATAAGTCTGAGTGAAAATTCAGTGTACCGAATGTGACGTCTCATTCGATGAATAACAGTGTACAGTTAAACTCCATTCCAAGCTGACTCAGTCCAAGCTGATAATTTTACTTTCGCTGCGTAGTCAGCCCCATCGAAGCTCGGTGCGAGCTCGCTGTTTGAATTGGGATGATGGCTGAGGGCCATAAAACCGGCAGCGACCGCAACACTAGCCCGACTTGTCTAGGTCCGAATCAGCCCGAACTCGCGGTTGAAATTTTTTTGCATGTCGTACTACATGAGATAACATGCTGTGAAAAATCTCAGGCCAATCGGAGAGGTAGTTCCCGAGACATGATTTTTTTTAAAGTTTTGCCAAAACTTGCCACCTCCGGCTGCACATGTTTTAATTGCTCTCCCGGCGCACCGGTTCGACCCTCGCCGTCCCTTGCACCATGTTGTCAACGAATCGGGCTTTTCGCTTGAAGCTCAATCTGTCCCCGACCGCTCAGCTTAGACTAGAGTTTTACTGTATGCGTTTGCGTAATGTTGGAAGTGTAATGGAACACGCACATGGAACACTGAAGTGTAGGGTTTCAGTGAATTTATTCATACTCCCTACAAGTTTCTCTACGTGCATTAAAATGGATCTGTGTCACAAAGTACTGAGAATCAGCTTCATGTTATGACTGCGTGGCATTTCTCAGCAAGAAATAGGAAGTGTAACTCGTGGGACAAGCTAAGAGCCCTGAAATTTAGTAGGCATTGTTGCGCCAAATGCATCATGCAGTCTCGTTCGGTCGCACTGCTGAGGACAGTGTGCACACACAAAATCTATGCACTCTCAGACTCGTATTGACTTTTTATCTTTTGCCATAAAGGTTTTTGTGCAAACGTAATATGTATCATTTTCTCTTTGACTATTCACTATTTAGTTCGTTGTATAATGTTTATAGTCCATTAAACCGGACTTCATGTCATTTGCAATGTACTTTTCAATTTCTATACTCTACAAATCAAAGAGTGTACATGGTACGCTCTAACTGGAGCATGCCTGCAAGCACGCTCTAACTAGCGCATGCCTGCCAAGCATGCACTAACTAGTGCATACATGCCATGTACACGCTTCCTGATGCAGAAAACTCCCTATCCCTTATGCAGTAAATGTATGCTTCAGTTAGCGTGTACATGGCATGTATGCACTAGTTAGTGCATGCTTGGCAGGCATGCGCTAGCTAGAGCGTGCTTGCAGGCATGCTCCAGTTAGAGCATACTATGTACACTCTTTGATTTGTAGAGTACGCTCTATTGACAATTATATCCCTTAAACGATCAAAATTGTGCATAGTTAAGAAGAAAATAGTACATTTTACGTTTGCTCAAAAACCGCTATAAGCAAGACAGGAATTGTGTATGCAGGCACGCTTTTGGTGCGGTGTGACATGCCCTCTGTTCTGTTCAGTTCGTCGTAGAGCGTTTCGGACTACCCTTGTTTATTTCACAATAGGTGGCGCGTCGCATTTTTTTTTGTCACTGTAAACAATATGCTGTGAATCTTCGACAGAGCTTTTTTCGGAGGTTGTTGGGAATGTCCGAAGGTGCACTGTAAATGTTTCCTACAGGAGTTTTTGTAAAGCAACGGAAATTTACGACGGTTCATTGTAAAGGCAAATCGTAAATCAAGGAAACTCCTTGTAAACCAACCAATCTCGTCGTAAATCTACGACGGGCCTTCGCAAATAATCCAAGGAACTGCTGACAATTTTTTCTGCCGAAGGATCCGTTGTAAATTTACTACGGATCTTTGTGGATTGATGAAGATGCTTCGTAAATTTCCGTAGTGCTGGTAAAATTGACAGAGGTCCAGAGGTCCAGAGGACAGAGGAATTTAAGAAGATTTTGTAGAGATGTAAAGGGCTTCTTAAATTAACGAAGGAACCATAATTGGCATTTTTATGCCGAAGGATCCGTCGTTTATTACACGGTGAAAACGGAACCTGGTTTTCCCAGGAAGCCAATGGTGATTTCCAGGGAGCTCCTGGGAAAACCAGGAGCGATTTTTACCGTGTAATTTTCACATTGTATTAACATTTATTTTCTCAGTGTTTATTTTCCGTTCTTTTTCAGAGACACGCTTTGTGCCGCTTCTGCCTGGAACTCCATCACGCTGGACTGCAGGAGCACCTCCAGGAGCACGCCCTGTCGGACGTGGCCTGCTCCCTGTGCTCGGGCCGCTTCCTGGACGACGGCGACGTGGCGCGCCACAAGGCGGACTTCCACCAAGTGACGACTGGCGACGAGGTGCCGCCCGCCCTGGGACGATGCACCAAGTGCCCCGCCACGTTCAGCAGCTGGGAAGACAACGTGCAGCATCAAGTCATCCGCCACCACAAGAAGGACGCGGACCGAGTGTGCTCTCACTGTCTGGTACCTCTCCCGTCCGTCGAGTTCGCTGAGACGCATGTTTTGCGGCACTCAGAGGGCAAAGATTTTCCTTGCCATCTGTGCCCTGCCCGGCTCACTAGCGAAGAGACACGTACTAAACACTTGCAGAGGTTCCACGCGCAAGAATGGGCCTTTCGATGACGGGAAGTGCTTTCTTGTAGCGACCGGCCTCTTCAGTGTGAACTTACCTTGCACACTGAATAGCATAGGTCGTGTTTGGCCCCAGGAATGATGCAGTCTTTAGCACAACCGTGAACGATACAATTTTATGCATTGTGCATTGAAATAGCGAGCTGAAACAGGCACCGGATAATTTGTCGCTCCTGTTGGAACCCAAGTTGTCTCACCGAGGGCTGTGCTTAGAACTGCATCATTCACGGGGCTTAAAAAGTCTGAAGATATTTAGTGTGTAGAAATTGTCAACATATGTATCTTGTTTTGGCCCCTTGGCCCCCTTGTTTCTGTTAGGCAGTGAGCGTCTTATCGACAATATTTGCACAGAACTTTCTTTATGTGTGATTGTGAGAAAGATTTAGTTTATTTCAAGAGTTTTCCTCGAAATATCATACCGAGTGTACTTAAAATTTCGAAACGGTCCTTTTCTTGTACCATGTTTAGTGTTTGTGAACTGAGATGAATATTGATGTAGACTTCTATTCTGTTTATGGTGGTGGTCGGTCGGTGGTAGTGTTGGTTAAAGAGAAAATGAACAAAAAATGTATCTTATGTCCTATCAAAATAATGATGTTAGTGCCGGTAGTCAGGAGAAGTTAACGTTGAAGTGAAGTCATTAATTTGTGAAAGTGCACTCAATGTACTATGACAATAAAGAGAGTATTCCGTTAAAGCTTTTCTTTCTGTCGATAAAACTTCCAGTATTACCACGGAGGGATGGCACCAATGTGCAAGAGTCCTCCTAGACCTACTATGAGATCGCTCATTTTATTCCATGCGTCCCAGCTAGGTTGATCATTTCGGTCCGGTAAGGCATGTGCTGAAAATACTCGCAAGCATTTAACTTGGAGAAACGCCAGGAATTCTCTTCCTCGGCTTTCTGGATCTATTGAGTGCAGTCTTTTATACAATAATTCTAGTTTGTCCATATTTTACTGCACATTCTGGTCAATTGCAACAGAACTGTGGTTGCCACAAGCTACTTTTATAAGTGTGGATATTTCATTTTAAAACATTGGCTAAGCCTTTGCTAATTATTTTGTTTATTGCCTCTTTCAAGGCAACATTTCCTTTACCGCCCTGGTTTTGGCAATACAAAATTGTACCGCTTAAACAGATACAGAAGCCAATGGATTCTGAAAGCTCACGGGCCCGTTCTCGCAGTCAGTTGTTCCTTCGCGAGTACTCTCCCTCGTCACTGCTGCAAGTTGTAGAGTATATGCAGGCTGCTGAACCACGACTTGATGATTTCCTTGCACGTGTCCCTGACCAGCAGGCCGATTCCAGGGAACCTTAACTAACATTTAACTAATACTGCTTTCAAAACGTAACATAAGACGATGTTCGCTAAAGGTTAAGGGTACGGACTTATGAAAGTACTTGCAAAAGTATATCCACACAAATTCGAGACATAAAAAAAATAACCTACCTTTTTGAAAAGATGTTAGAAGTTAAGGGTAATAACTTTAACTCTTATGATAACGTTATGATGCCCTTATGAGGTAAGTTAAGGATCCCTGGCTGATTCCTGGACACCGCAACCTGAGCGCACGCCCATCTGCTGCCTGGGAAGACAGAAGATAAAGCAAAAATAGGGACAAAAACACACTCGGCAATGGGCTCTAACTCATAGAAGGGTTACGACTAGATCTCATTTGGAATGGGTCGGAACCGTCAGAGAATGGGTTGGAATTTCGTCGTACAAAGGCTCGACCTCTGACGTGGGTGCAGCCCGGATGAGATGCTTGCGCGAACCTTTAAAATGCATTCTATAGTTTCTGATCGTTCTTTACGCTCATAGCGACAAGTTTTTTTAGAAGTTCCTCTCTTTAACCTATTTCTCGTTTTGGTGTGCATGCCACCATACACAGCCCAATTTCTTTCTGCTCCAGCTGTGCTGGGCACCAAATTCAAAATTCTGCAAGCAACTTTTGATGCTATTTGTTGCTTGCACATGCTTTGCCACCACAAACATGGCTCTACTTCATGTATATTGTCCCACAAATATTTATGCTCAAAAAGACCTGACTTAGATTTGAACATTAAAACGTTAGCTAGTTCATGTTGCTGAACTGGGGAGGCCGGAGCGGGGAGAGGGGAGCAGAGGTGGGAGGGGAGCCCATATGAGAAATATTACATCCACTTAACAACAAAAGAAAAGCGATGTATCTACACGACGATCAGAGGGTGAATAGTATGTTTATCGTGCGAGCAGGCGACCACCTTGTTTTCAAAATGGATCCTTTCTCAATCGAGTTGTTGCTTTACATTGTTTGTGAGGAGGTTTCCCCTCGATTACTACAGTGTCAGAGAGTATGGCAGAACAGTGTGACGTTGTTCTCGCCATACATCCGAGCGTGTTACAGTTCTTCATAAACCATAAGTGCAACATACAAGTTCAAAGTCAGCTGCACCCTCCAACAGTTCCACACTTTGGTGCTACATCTTCTCTGCAGCAGAAACAGTGTGTGTGGTGGTGGTGCAATGGACTTCAGCCTAACTCCCTCATAAACCATAAGTGCAACCTTCAAGTTCAAAGTCTGCTGCACCCTCAACAGTCCCACACATTGATGCTACAAGACTTCTTTGCAGCAGAAACAATGTGTCTCTCCTTGAGCTGGTGGTGGTGCAATGGCCACACTTCAACCTGACTCATGAAGACTCATCTTTGTGCTGTAAGTACATGAATCAGTGGTGCGGTTCCTAGGTCATAAATATTTTGTCAATTTAAGGGGGCAGTAGCGTCATTTGCACGTGTTTTGACGATTTTCGAACCTCCTGTTTAGACGTTAATATAAAGATAAGTATGAATGCCAGAGACAAACGGCAGGCACCATTTGAAAGATAAAAGTTTTTACAACATTTTCAAAAAAAAATATTTTGTTTTAGCATTGAATTAGGATGTTTTGTGTTCTATGCAAAAATGGTCTGCAAAATTACATGGTGTCACTGCGCGCACGATTGCAGCCAAAGTTTTTAACTTTTTACCAATCGGTAAAATGCATCTGAAAAAGCATAAAATTGCCCATAAAATGACCCTTGGGTTTCAATATTGGGCAAGAAAAACTATTGAAACGCTCATCTTCAACTTAAGATGGAAACGAACCACATTTTTTCTGGCCCAATATTAAAACCCAAGGGTCATTTTATGGGCAATTTCATGCTTTTTCAGATGCATTTTACCGATTGGTAAAAAGTTAAAAACTTTGGCTGCAATCGTGCGCGCAGTGAAACCATGTAATTTTGCAGACCATTTTTGCATATAACACAAAACATCCTAATTCAATGCTAAAACAAATATTTTTTTTTTGAAAATGTTGTAAAAACTTTTATCTTTCAAATGGTGCCTGCCGTTTGCCTCTGGCATTCATACTTATCTTTATATTGACGTCTAAACAGGAGGTTCGAAAATCGTCAAAACACGTGCAAAAGACGCTACTGCCCCCTTAAAAGTTCGGCAGGATCACATTTGGCTACGCTGGGCCATCACCTTATGCAAGTGGGTGCAGATTTAACAAGCAACCCTCTCTATTTTTCAAGAAGATCCATTTTGAGTACAGAACATTCAATAACTTTAATTCTGTCATGATCCTATGTACCGCAGTGACTAGATTCACAATTCTGACCTAATGGGGGGGAAATATCAATGTATTGCCATTTTGGGGCGAGACTTCTGAATCTGACCAATCTGTGGCGATACTTTTGAGTATCGCCAATTTGAGGCGAGACATTTAAAGTCTCACCGGTTTGAGGCGAAACTTTCAAAGTCTCGCCAATTTGAGGCGAGACTTTTTGTCTCGCCAAATTTTGGCGTGAAGTCTGACCCTTGGTTTTGTAGTGTTCTAGGTGCGTGCTTACAAGCATGCACTTCTAGGTGTGTACTTGCCTAAGCACGCACCTAGAAGTGTGTACTTGAATGAGTACACACTTATAAGTGTGTACTTAGTGAGTAGACACTTGCGAGGTGCATGCGCGGCATAGGGAAAACGCATGCACTTCTATGAGTGTACTCACTGAGTACACACTTAAGTGTGTACTCATTCAAGTACACACTTCTAGGTGCGTGCTTACGCAAGCACGCACCTAGAAGTGTGTACTGAGTACACACATAGATTTTGTGTGTGGCCGCCTTCACCTGTCTTCTGGCCCACTGCGCATTGCACCGTGTCGAGACGTTCAAGAACCACTCGGAAAACTCTGAAGTTCCAGGAAATGTGTTGTTTACGGCAGGCCGCGCTGCCCGCCGCGCCGCTCCACTGGCAGGCGGCGTCTCGGGGTCGACGGGCCGCGCGGCTGGCAGTCCCGTGGCGGCCGGGGAAGCGTCGCGTTGCAGAGAGGGCCGAGGGGCCGGGAGAAACGCCAGCGAAGCACTCTGCGTGTTTACCAGGCCGGCATTCCGCGCACCCCGCTGGCGAGAGACAGGCGAGCCCTTGTTGCCGTGGGACGGCCCTCCACCCCCCGCAGCGCCTCACACTGGAAGGCAAGGACACTCTTGGGAATGCAAGGACTGGAACGGGGGGCGAGGGGCGCTCCCTAAAGGTCTGTATAGGCCTAGGGAACATTCACAAATTACATAAGGGCGATTTGGGGCGTTTTGACCCCCTGTACCCCCATGTAAGGCCAAGTAAGGTTTCAGGACCGCCCACCCCCATTTACGTAAGGTTTTCGCCAAAAAAAATCCCCATAAAACCTTAAAACGGTTTTCTCTGTTTTTTACGTGTTTTGTGCATAAGACGAGATAAATCAGCGGTTTTGGAGTGAAATCAATCAGATTTCTGATTTAAGATGGCACTGCTTTTATTGCAAAGCATGGGTTCATAATAATAATCATAAAAGGGCATTTGGCCACAATAAATCAACGCAACATGGCATAACAAAAGAAATTCCCACTTTTAACCCATTTCAGCGCGTTTCAGAAACCTTACATAAGGCTTGCTTTAGACCCCCCACCACCCCCACATAAGACCCTAGTAACGTTTGGGGCCGACCCCCCCACCCCCTCGAGGCCCTTATGTAATTTGGAATTTCCCCTAACAGCGTTGATGATGATGATGATGGTCCGACATCGACCGGCAGTGCGCTGCACGCGGACCTCGCCAGGATCACGGCGAAACCGCCTCCTGGGAGTCCCAGGAATGTCTCTCAATTCCCAGGAAAATCTCCTGAGATTCTCAAGAATATCAGTAAACTCCCAGGAAATGGTTTGAACGCGGAGACTGATTCCGAGACATAAAAGTCTCGCCAAGTTTTGGTCAAACCTGAAAGTCTCGCCAAAATTTGGTCAGACAAAAAAGTCTCGCCACAAAACGGTCAGACACATAAGTATCACCGTGGTGTTTTGTGGCGAGACTTTTTGTCTGACCAAATTTTGGCGAGACTTTCAAGTCTCGCCAAGGACTTTAATGTCTCTGTCTCGCCATATTTTGGCGCGAAGTCTTTCCATCCAATTTGCAGTGCGGTGTCCTGCAGAGAAGTTTGTACGGGTCTACGGAGGAAAGCTGGAACGGAAGTGAAGACAAAAAAAAAAAAAATAACAACAACAAAGTTTGAGAAATTCGTGAGAAGGAGCGTCTGCATCGCCGGTCTGCCGCTTCCGCAGAGCTATATTCTCATTCAAGTCCGCCATTTGTTCTTCTTGATTTCTTCTCAACTTCCGTCCTAGCTCTTCTCCGA